GCCCACAGCGAGGGACATCCATATACAGCAAAGCAGCTCCGGGTCCTGACTGGCCTGAGATGGGGCCAGGACTTGAAGGAAAGCTGAAGGTCCCAGGGAAGGGGCCACAGTTAATGGGTGAAGGGGGTGGTTGAGTTGCCTGCCTGAGATGCCATCTAGGAGGCTTGGGCTGCGGTGTAGGGATGGAACAGAGTCGCAGATAGCTGCCCTAATATCGGGGTGTATAATGGGCAGCCTCCCGCTTAATTATTACATCAATATTATTACATCAAGGCATGGCAGGTAAGAGAGGAGGGTGGCTGACCTGTAGACAGGGGGCAGGCTGGTGCTTGCACCGGGCATGAAAGCTTGCCCCTGTCATAGGAAGGCAGACTGAGCAAGGAGACTGGGGACTTTTTTTTTTCCCTGGTTAATTTAGCACTGGTTAAAGGTGCCCTAGAGAATGAAGTCCTAAATTTATCTACACATTAAGTGTGGATAGGCAGAAACATTGCAAACCTCCTACTATGTGCCTCAGCTATGGCCTGGAGGAAATGAAAGCGGTCTCCATGCCACCATCCCATTCTTGATATTGTTCATGTGATGACAGTGACCAAACAGGCAAGAAACAGTGTTGCTCCTCTCATGCTCTGATCTGTCAGCCAGGAGAGCTGAGTTCTGGCCCTGATTCTGCTGCTAGCTTGCCACAGGAGCTTGGAAGCTTATCTGCCTGCTTCCCAGTGTGAGATGATTTTGAGCTTCCCTTACAATGTGCTTTGAAATACATGGATGACAAGTTCCACATAAGAACTAAGCATGGCTTTGTTAGGTGCTTGCTGTCTGTCTACGCTAGCCTTGCTGCCTGTCTGGACATGCCTTCCCAGCAGCTGTTTGCGTCTCTCCCTATAGCTCCGGTGAACTAGATGCATTTAAATATCCTTGACAAGGTGTTACTTGAGGCAGCCCTCAATAAATTCAAGGCACCCCTCAGTAAATGCCAGCTGTTAGTTTTCACTCATTTTTTTATACCTTAGAAAAATAGTAGAGCAAGTCTTCTGTTGCAAAGAATTTAGAAAGACCCCAACAGGACAGAATACTTTTAACATTATGGATTCTGTGAAATCAAGATTCATCTTGTAAACAGTGTCTGTAAACTTAACAGTATTAAGGCACCTTTAAAAGGATCTCAAGGCACCACATAGTGCCACAGCACTCGGGTTGAGAATCACTGGATTACATCAATTAACCTGGCAGCTCTGCGCTGAAAGCAAAGATACCAGGGCTAGTGCTTGTCAGCTCTCTTCTCAGCACGGAGCCGCCACATTGTTTTCAGTGATACTCAGGCATAGGGAAAAACTTTCCTGGGCTCCTGGATCTCACTGTGCAGCAGCTTCTTGCTGAGAGCAGAGCTGTGGGGGATTAACCCCTGGTGTTCCTGCTCTTTACGGACCCATCACACAGTGAGATCCAGGAGCCCGGGGAATTTCTTTCCGGGGCTCTAGTCACACTGAAATTAATGCAGCAGCTCCACAATGAGAATGGAGCCATTCCCAGCTCTCTTTGCAATTAGGGAAGGGCTCCATTCTGAGAGTGGAGCCACTGAGGGTTAACCCCCAGCAGCGCCAGTATCGACAACCCCCCGTGCCAAAAATCATGAGACGAGCTCTTAAAAAAAAAAAAAAAAAAAAAAAAAAAAAAAAAAAAAAAAAAAAAAAAAATCAAGAGATTGGCATATAAGTCTTAAAATGTTATTTTTTCAGTGCGTGTGTGTGTGTGTGTGTGTTATTTGTGAAGGTGTGGGGAACTGTGGGAGTGTGTGTGGGGTTTGGAGCCTGGAGAAGGAGGTCCCTACACACCCTGGCAGGATGTAGGGTACTGTGGGTCAGGAATGAGAGGGAGTAGCAGGGCTGGGGGTGGGGCTGTGGCTTGGGAGTGAGCAGCAGAGACACAGACATGAAGACAACACCCAGATGCTAAGTGGAGGGAAAGGGTGAGGGGTGGGGTGGGGTGGGCCAGAGTTCGAGGCTCCCACAGTGAGGGAGGAAGTGGAGCAGAAGCAGCGGCCAGGGTGAATGAGGCCCCGGGGCCAATCAACCAAAGGCATGGGAGGGGGGCCAACTGGCTCCCCACAGCAGCATGCACCCCCAGGGGAGACTTTGGGGGGATATGCCCCCCCACAGGGTGGAGGCAGGCTTCCTGCTGCGGGCTCATGCTCTGCACCCTGCTGCCTTTGCCCCAGGAGCTCAGCTGCAAAGCCAATGCCATCCACCGGGCAGGCAGGGGACATGGGGACATGCTGGACATACGTGGTGCGTACTCTGCCTACCAAGTGGCAGGCAGCACACTGGCATTGGGTGGATGAGCTCCCAGGGTGCAGATCCCCAGCTCACAGCCCACCCTGAAGGGGGCACGTGCTCCCCATGCCTCCCCTGGGGGTGCACGCAGCTGCAGGGAGCCACGTTCCCCCCCCCCATGCCTCTGGACAACCCACGCCAGCCCCAGGGCCCCATTTACCCCAGCCCCTGCCCAACTCCCTCCCTTACCATGGGGGCCTTGATCTCCCCCTGCCTCATCCCTCACCCCACCCCTTCCCCTCCACAGACTTGCCAGCTGGGAAACTCCAGAGATTTGAGGGTTCAATTGGGAGATCACGAGTTGGAGTTACTTTGACTTAGAAATCCCGAGTCTTGTGATGTTTTTGTGACAGTTGGCATTACTGCAGCTCTACTCTCAGTGTGGAGCCACCAACCACAGAGACCAGGGAGTTGGGGGAAGCATGTACATCTCCCCCTGCTGCATGGCCTCCCTGCATTTCAGTCCCAGGAGCTCCCCACTCTGAACATGGAGCCAGGGTACCATACTTTTCCCACTCCATGGTCTTGCTTTTCTTAAGTCTTTCAAAACAGCTGCTCTCTATGTGGAGGGAGGAAGGGGCTGAGTAGAGGTGTGGAGAGTGGGAATGGGTAAAGGGGCTGAGAATTCACATCCGGGGATGTTGGAGGACTGCAAATTAAGAGTTTTATCTCCCTCGAGCTGACTAAAAATACCCTGAAATGACTTGGGTAAGACCAAAGATAACCCACATTTCATTTGGCTTATCTTCAAAACATTTAGATGGTACTTAAAATAGGATAACACCCTTTAATGGATGAATGCTCCATTTTTAAGTACCTTCAGGAAGGTTTAAAGGTAACCTGTAACACCACCCTTAAGTATTTCCTACCATGGCCCCTTTGATTCTGCAACGGCCCTTGCACACTCATTCAGAATGGAACTTCACAATTTGGAGGAGACTTAGGCCACATACAGTTTCTACTGGGAGAGTTGTTCCTCTCCCAGGAGAATCCATGAGTGTACAGACATTCTGGATTTTTGTCCCAGAGCAAATATGGCCATTCCAGGAGAAAAATAACTTGGGAACAGCCAGGGCTAAATGACTCCTGGGGGAGTTTCTCCTGGGAAAACAAAATTTTGTACATGTATCTTGTGAGAAGCCACAGCACAGTCCTCAATGTGTCTAGGGAGAATGTTTGTCACTCACTCTACTGCTCCAACCATGCAGGAAGCCTCTTCACAATTCTCACATTATGCTGCAGCGAGACAGCCTGTGAGGCAATCTGGGTCAGCCAATCAGACTGCCCTGTGCACTGCTCTCATCTGTTGCCAGGCAGACTGGGGAGTCTACAAAGCATGCTGAGACATGCATAGGGATCCCATGGCTACACAATGGCTCAGCCCTCAAATGTCTGTTCAGGTAAGTTTTTCTACCAAAAATTCAAACCTAGGAGATCTTTACTAGATCATCTGAACATGCAGTCTTAGTGAAGGCAGGAGGTATGGCTAGTCTTCTTGGCAATGCTCCCTTGTAGTGACAGAAGTCTAGCATAAAATGCTGACAAATGCGTACTGCATTTTCTAGCATCCCCCAATTTTTTCAGCATGAAGGTTTCAAAAAATCCACAAGAGAGGCTGCCTCAGCAAAAGCAGAGATGCAGAGCTGTAATCAGGAGGAGAGGCTTGGAGTTCAGGGCACTGCATCAGCCTTAGGCCTTTTCAAGTATACAAATGACCTTGCAATTTCTTTCCATATCTTGAAGATGTTTCATTCTGCAGACCTGAAGACAGCAGTATAACCCCTTCCTCAGGAGAAGAACTGCAGAAAACTGAGGGTTTTATTTTTTGCTTCTTACACATTTATCTTTTATGAAGGAAACACTATGGCTATATTGACACCAAGAAATGAAATAATTCTAAGCATAAAAGTCACTCTTGATTAAGTGCACAATATTTTTTGCTTTGATCCTGAATCTACTCTTTTGAAAACAGCAGAATGTTTCCTAGAGTTGTACCAGCTCATTTTGTTATGAGTTAGGATGCTGATGCTGAGAATGTACAAAGAAGCGAACCAATGGAATGAAATTGGTGTGTTATACTGGAAAGATAGATCAGGGTTATAGAGGACAAATCAATGTCTAGTAAATTGAAAAAGACAAAATAAACCCCAAAACAGTAGAGCAATTATTATATTCAATCTCAGAAGTGAGCATTGCATACAATAGAGAACAACAAATGAAAAACTAAAACAAAACTGCTGACAGGTCCCTTAACTCTTTGCTATTAATTAAATTGCTCGGCTTTCTGAAAAATAAAGCTAGGATCATTGATAAAAATACAGTATCCAATATAACATTACACTAATCCTTTATTTTATTGACTGTACAGTATGTGTAGCAACATTTTTATGCTAGGGTTATTTACTGGTGGCCACTTTTTACACTTGAAAGAAATCAACATTTTTACTGCTGTATTGATATCTTCTGAAGGAAATATACAGCACAGTTGGATTTCAAAGGAGTTTATTCTTTTCAATATAAGCTGCAGCAGAAATCTCAATTTATCACATTCCATAACCCTAGTGAGTCTCAAAAGAAGCCTGCACTATGAAAGGAGAGGAGATACAGCACTATAGTAACCTGAGAATAAACCACTCCCTTGTTTATGTTTAATAGTATTATTTTTACCTGAAGATGACCATATTCTTCATGGGAAAAGACTTCATCTCCAGTATGTGCATTGAAAACAGAATGAAGGCATTTGGATGGCCTGGGATCTTGCTTAAACTGCTGAACCTAAAGACAAATTTTTAAAAATCCTGTAAGTTTGAATATATTTTACAAATATACAAATTCAATATCTATTTTAGGTATTTTTAAGGTACAAATTTGAGAGTTTCAAAATACATGAAGCTTCCAATCACTTAATATTATGGTTTACATAAAACATTTACATATATTTACAAAAAACACTGGAACTATGCAAACTGGCATCCAGAACAAAAAGTATTTCATGCCCAGTTCAATTTTTTTTTTTTTAAATAAAAAGACAGAAGTGTTCAGTTTAATATACCAATAATGGCCTCTTTCAATATTTCATCCCATCACTCTGGTTTCATAATTAAATATTTTCTACACTACATAGAAACTTAATTATTGCCATTGCATTTCACTGCTACTTGATGCTTACTATGAAGCTAAGGTTTATGCTTAGTATGCTTCAGGCTATGGCTTCCATTGTATTCCAGCTGTTCCAGAATGAAAAGTTGTTTTTATTCTATACAATCATTTTACATTTGATTTTTCTCCTTTGTTATTACATTCATATTATCTGTCATCTGTGAGGTGATTTTTTCCCTACCAGTGCCCCCCCTTTCACTATGCCTAGTTCACCCCCTTCCCAATTCATTTTTCTTTAAAAAAGGGGTATTATATTTACTCCAATCCAAGATAAGCCTCATTCCCCTCCCTCCCCCCATTTAGCAGTGGAGAAGGCCCCTTGTCTCCTTTTTTAATACAAAGAAGTGGGGGGGGAAGGCAGGCAGCTGCTGTGGCTGCGACTCTGGCCCCATGCCTGTGCTAGGGCCAGAGTCAGAACCATAGCAGCCACCTGACCCCCCCACCCCAACTCTGCCTGCCCTCTGCAGCCTCAGGCAGCCATGCTGGCCAGTGTTTGGTCACACCCCGACCTCCGCCCCTGCTGTAGCGAGGGGAAGCACTAGACAGACCTCAGTTTGGGTTCGTGCCATTAGGACAGGGAAGGGGAATTAAACCCCCACCCTGGCCAGTTCACTTGAGGCTGCTGCTGGGGCTGGCCACACCCCACAGCACAGCTTCCCTGCAGCCAAGGGCATGCTCTAGTGCCCCCCACAGCTTCTGGCCTGAGCTACTGAACACACGTGCCTGAATTTACTCAGTCAAGAGGGAATGTCTATTCACTTACAAATTGCTTCGATCTAGGCAAGTTAGACTAACTTGCAAAGATAGAATCAATTTAGGCTCTGGCTTTTTGAATGTCTGTCCCTAGCCTTAATGTTTAATTG